ATCTCCTATCTCCCCGGAACTTCGACGGGGAATCCGGGGATTTGGCTGGCGGGGCAATTATTATGCCTGGCTCATTGGCGATGCCAAATGACGCGAGCCATTAGATGGGACAAAATCAAATGGTTTTATTAGCGTTTCCCCCTCGACTTTATCACTGGGATATTTTTTCCTGTTCCGGCCTTCCGATGCACCACTAGAACCATCGCTGCGTCATTATTAAAAAACTGGGGAATGCAATCTTAGTTCTGGCTTTTTTTGCTATTGATGAAGAAGAATTCAAATTACGTTTGTCTTCTCCAAAAGTTTTAGTGTAACTTTCCAATAAATATAACAAGTTGGTCATTTCGACCAAACGCCTTTGGTACATCATGTTTTCCTCGTTATTCGAAAAATGTAAGAACTAATGCCTACATTGTTCTACAATTAACGATTTAAGTTCACCTTACCGCCGGCTGACTAGCACTTATCGTGTTTTTCATTAACAACGAGGATGCACTAAGTAGACTGTAGTCACATATGATTCATACTGCGAATCGGGGTCAGAAACAGCTATAGCTTTTACGACAGACGGCTTCTCTAGTCCTTTAGTGTTTATTAGTAAAAACTGTAATGTCTTCCAAAAGGGACCAGAGAACATCGAAGAATTTGAATTCTCGTAACAGTTACTTTCTCGAGTGAGACTTTGTGAACGCGAATATGAACTTGTTTTAAACACGCGAAATAGCAAGCAGGGATTTTTACGAGTCGTTTTGGAGGGATGGCGTTGTCCCATACTTATTCGAGGGTTTATATTGTTGGGGCCAGTATATTTTCAAATTCTTTGTTTTCAGAGTCAATTGAGGTAACAATAAATATTCCTTAATGCCCAGGATGTTGCGAAAACCACTGTCGTTGTTTATGTACCTGACGTAGAAAGTTGTCTTGAGAAACTGGCTCAGCTACCTTCCGATTCGCCTGACAGTCAATTGGCGGTCATCCTCCCTGATTTTAAAAGTGCCAGTATTCTGGAGAATCTGCAGTCCTGCGGCCGAGCAGTCCATTTATATGGTATACCGGGCTTCTGTTCGCTCTTTCACAACCGAGTGAAATGGAGTAAAAATCGTCCCGTTTATTGCTTCTCAATGTCTCGAGCGGTTGTCTCGTTCACTGGGTTTCGAGACCGTGTGCTTGTTGTAAGTCAGACAGTCTATAACTGCACAATTTTCTGCCTCCTGAAAAAATACTTATAATTTGCATTTTTGCGTTTTTATTTTTTTGTACACTAGTGTGTTAGTCCTTATCGAACTGACTTTGAGGATGGAGTCACTCGGATTTCTTCAAATGTTTCTCGATTCCATTAATCAGCAAGACCAGTCTGCCCATACATTTCGCTCGTCTTTTTTAAACTTAACTCACCGTTATTGTTTTCCTGTTTACAGAATCGCCTGGCCTCTCTTGTTCATTGGATGGGTGGGAGTGTTCGTCGGCGACTAGACGCCGATGTGACTCACCTAGTCGCCTATCGCTGCGCCGGTGAAAAAGTTCGTAAGGCGGCTTTGACATCTACAAATATCACCACAATGAACGCGTCATGGATAGAATCTGCGTGGGGCTTGCGCACTTCCAATCCATTTTTCGATTCAACAGAAGTCGAGTTTGTGGTATGTTTGCTGCTTTTAGCATTACCTTTTCGGACTTAGGCGGCAAATATTCTTGCTAATTGGCTGTCTTGGCGGTGTACCCGTCATCGTTT